CCCAACATTTACACTTAAATGATCCTTGAATTTAACCATCCTATGAAGACCTAAGGATAATAGACTTAAGTAAGATAAATCCTATCAGGTAATCAACCCTGTAATGGTCTCTTACACTTAACCTCTCGGCCCATAATGATCAAACACTGCTCGATAAGGAAGGACCCCTATCAACACCCGATTTTTGCTCGGTCTTCCGCCTAAACCTCCAATTCACCCCAAATCCCCAATCAGACCCTTCCAATCTATCTGGATCATCCAAAAACCCAAAAAAACCCAAATTTTACCCCGAAAGCCCTCTGATCCACCGTTAAACCTATCCAATACCAATCCAATGGACTCGATCGACCGCCACTTACACCTCAACCACTAGATCCAAACCCACCATCAGGCCTTGGACCCCCCAAAACTCCTACCTGTAAAATTTCAACTCAAGATTCCCTCGTTTACCCCCTCATTAAATGAAGATTCCATTTCGACCCCTCTCGATAGCCTAAACACACAGAACCCAGATAACCTTCATCTTCACACATCCAAGCCAATCAGACCACACCATTAAACTTAGGACTCATCAAAACACCTGGCTACAAAGTTTCAACCCTACATTCCCCCAGTTGTCCGTCCATCAAACAAAGATTCCATTCTGAAATATCTTATTGACCTACACTTCTACGATCTTGACCCCTCAACCAATTAGACATCATAATCAGATCCTAGACACCCCCAAATACTCACCTGTGAAATTTCAGCCCAAAATACCTTTGTTCACCATTTAGTCACACCAAGATTTCATTTCAATCTCCTAGATTAATCAGATTCCAACTCCTCCCGATCCAGGCCTATTTGACTCAATCAAACCTTACCAATCACCTCAGACTACCCAACAATCATACCCTCTAAAATTTCATCCAAAACTGACCTTGTTTGCTACTCAATCACACAAAGATTCTATTTCGAGCACCTAGATTAATCGAATCGAACCCTTTCCAAATCAGCCCAATCCGGGCCTAGTTAGGCCAATTTGACCCCATAAATCAACTAAGAATGTCCAAAAACCCCATCCTATAAAATTTCAACCAAAAATGCCCTCATTAACCCTTCTATCCAAAACGATTCTATTTTGGTTGATCTCATTGCCCCGCACAGACACAAAACCCTTATCTGCACTCAACCCATCTCAACCCTCCACCTTTTAACCCAAAACCACCCATGAACCAAGACCCCAGTCCGACCCCTTGACTAATTATGACCCAGATTTACAAAATTATTAATTTACCCCTAAACTTTCTTGAAATTATGAAAATGCCCTTTATGCTCATTATAAATCTAACCGAAACTCATGTTTGCCCCAAGGAGAGAGTGGAGAGATTTTTCTACCACTGTTCATCATCTTCACCTATTCGAACCACCAGAAGTGGCGGCAGTTTCGTTTTCTCTCATATATCAGAACTCCCTCTCGATTTTCTCTCTTTTTACATTTCTCTTTGGTTCTTCTTCTTCTTCCCTGAACCTGAAGCTTCCTGCCACTGTTCATTGTCATCTCTATTGAACAGCGGCAAGATTTTCTTTTCCCTTTTCCCAACAATCAATCTCAGCTTCCACGAGATTTGTGAAGAACCTATCTCCAACGCCATTACCTTTATCCTGCTTCATTGGTGTCATCTCCTTTTTTTTTTCCGGCTTTCTACAGTTGACTGAGGCCTCCACTTTCACACCAGGAGGGACTCGTCCAAACCCTCCGATTTCCACCTACGAAGTGCGTTGAGCTCACCCGTTTACAAAATCGATCTATCTCAGGCTGACATACTTCAGATCAAAACTAGAGGAGGTTACGAGAGCAAGCACTATTCATTTTCCTCTCCACACGAACCAGCGGCAGAGCAGCGAAAGAAGAGTTGCAGAGCAAGCTCCTGTTCGAACAGAACACCTGTAAAACATTGGTGTTGACTTTGCCAAACAACCTGGGTTTCTTTAAAGTCCAGAAGCGAGTCATTCCCCCTTCCACTGGAGCTCAACCAGGCTATTCTCTTCTTTCATTTTCTGGCAACATTTTGGGAATAAGTGTGATCAGGTAACCCTTCTTTTGTCTTTTTTGTCTATTTTCGATTGAAGGGTGAGGGAGGGGAAGAGTCGACAGAATTGACTTCATTAATCCCTGTAAACTTGCGTACCCTTCCTAATCCTGCCATAGATTGTCCTGTTTTAAACCTGCTTCTCCATATTGCATCTGTATTTGCTTATTGTCGAGCTTATGAATGCATATAGAATATATTACAATTTCTCTGAGGTAGCTTTCAGTTCATGCAATTTCTTTCTTGTTTATGTAAGTTTAGCCGATTAGATTGCTAAAGTTGCAAACTTAGTCTACCTTTATTTCTATAAATTAGCATAGCATGACTGTCTATCCCTTTTCATCTTAATACAGTTTGTTTATTCTGTTTATTTAAATCTCTTTATACTTTATTTTTGAGGTTACTTCCTCTTGTTATCATTTTCACTATGGATCAACTACGTCGGATTTGATTAAAGAATTTGCTTCCAATTAGTTGAGCAAGTGCAGGTGGAGTGATAATTAATCTGTGGTTTTTCTATAATAATGATCAGCAGTGTTTTTCTTTCTTTCGGTTTATTTTTGTAACATGATTTAGGCTCCTGATTAATTCAGATTTGTTAGTTCTTTCATGTAGGCCCCACCTATTGGATCCGGGAGAGGGGTGCCTAATCCCTTCCCTTTCTCTTCAGTCTTACCTAAACTGGTTAGCTAGTGTCTTGGGTTTTGGAGACACTACAAAAGATAAAAATATTTTTAAAAATCATTCCCAGAGGTGCAATCACCTCTATTTCTTAAATTGGTGTGTGGTGATTCCATTTCCAGCTCAAGTGGCAAGTGAGCCCGTTTTCCGACGCTCACAACCTCTCCCCTGGCTGCAAGGTATAGTGTCACACTCTCTACCCATATGGATCCCGGGAATTAAAACATTTTCACAAATATTTTTTCATAAAACATAATATATATATATATATATATATATATATATATATATATCATATAAATATATTTTGCAAAACTAAATCTCAAACACAATTGAAATCCAATACCGACAGTTTGAGTTTCCATAAGAGAGAGTTAAACTCTATCATTCACTTTGTCCGATAAAGGGGCCGATCCTATCACTATGATCATCCACTTAAGCAAATTCTCAGACTGCCCCAACATACCTAAGTTTTGACTCTTAATGGATCTCACTGATTGGCATATTAAAGATAGTCCAATCTAACACCTAGTGTAGTGTCATAATCAAGTCTAGGGGTTGTGTACATTTCCAATTTTGCCCATCAATCTCCAAGGTCTAGGGCATAATTGGAAAATGGTTCGGGTTTAGTATTTCAACCAAACACACACTACATGTGCTTTGGGTCTAACCCTAGCAATTGAGACAAGTTGTCCTAACTTCTTTGGCAGCACATCAATGTCAGCCTTCGTAGGATAAACTCCCCAAGTCTATCAAATGGTTGAGAATATTCTAAACTAACATGAATCTCATAAGTGTCCAATTTAAGGGGTAATTTCACAAAAACATACCGATGTCAACAAGAAATAGCAATATACCTTTATTCATTTACAATAAATGTATTTGTACATCAATCTAACAAGAAATCTCATAAGTGTCCATTTACAATATACCCTTATTCATTTACAATAAGGGCATACACTATCTAACAGGCCTTTGATGTCTTTTTACTCTCTATAGGTGGGACTTTCAGATCTCGACCTCAAAAGTTACCTTGTTGCGCTCGGCTCCAGATTTGGCAACAACAAAACTAATGATGACACTCCACACTAGTCAAAATATATATGGCTTACAACCATCATTCAACCTCTCAACCTAACCTCATATTTATCATTGGATTGGTTGGGCATTAATCATTGGTTCCACATCCCATTACACATCTACCATGTTTGCCTATTACCTCTTAACTAGCCCCTTGTCATCTCGGACAATTATTGTAGTGGTTAGTATCAACACCAAATTTTTACTAAACCTTCCATCTAAGCCACCAACTCATCCCTGAAAGCTCTTTCAGACCATTTCAATCTTTCTCAAACACCAAAAACCTAAGGAATCCAAATATCAGCAACAAATCCTCAAAATCCATCAATGAATCTAACCAATTTTTGCTCAACCCCATCTATCCCCAGTCCGATGACACAAACCAAACCCTTCACACCATGAATCAAACTTAGAACCTTAAAAATACCTAACGAATCTAGCATTAAATCCAAACCCTAAACTTCTACCACCATTTCAATGACCCGTTTACTTGATACCTTCAGAGCCTAAAGATACTAAATTATCAAAATACCCCATCATCCCAAATTACTAAAATACCCCTTATCCCAAATTCCCAAAATATCATCTATTACAAATTACTAAAGTACCCTTCATTCCAAATTACCAAAATACCCCTCATCCCAAATTATCAAATACACCCCTCATTCCAAATTACCAAATTACCTATCATTCCAAATTCCCAATGTACCACTCATCCCAAATTTCCAAAATACCCCCTTATTCCAAATTACCAAAATACTCTCCACTTTTCACAATTTGTAGAATATCCCCTCTCTACACCCTGAGTTATCAAACTTTCCAAGATTCTTGGGCCCCAAAAATCACTAAGGCACCACTTGGCCTTTCCTTAAGTTAAAGAGTTGGCATAACCCCCTTCCTATAAACCATCATCCAAAATTATAAAAACCCCAGTCTTACCCACTTCATTTTAGAATTTTGCAAAAAGACCCCTCTTAGAATCCCTCACCACATAAACCCTCTTGTAAGTGGGGTGATAAGGCAAAGTATGGTGACCTCATTGAAGGACGAAGAAGGAACGAAGTTTGTTAGGTAGCGAAGCCAGACAGGGGTCTCAAAATAGATAGAATCATGTGCTAATCATGATTTATTCCTCTTTTTATAAGGGAGGACCCCGAGGCCCTAAAGGGAAGGATCCAAAGGGGTTTCATTCCTATTAGGAAAGGGGATCTTTGATTCTTTGTCGGTTGTCAGGAGGACACTATTAGGGGTTTGCTACGTGTCGCATGAGATCTTCCTAGGACGAAATTTCCTTTCATCCGAGGACTCTCATGGTACATGTGCACTACTTCTCCTCACGGGTCTCCTCTATCGATGTGGCATGGATGATGTCAGAGTTAATCTGACATGTTTCGCTTAGTTTGTTGGGCGTCTTGTCGTGAGTGTCTTTGGCTTGTTGCAATCGTGCGATGGTCCTTTAATCCATCACACATCCGCAATGGCTTTGAGCTCATCACAAACCTGTGATGGGTTATGGGCTCATCGCAAGCCCTCAGTGGATTCCGTGTTGTCATAGGCGTTTCTGTCATTCTGGTTTGATGCCTTCATCACAATCGCAGACATAGTGGACCACATGTACTTACAACTAGCCCCCCTGCTTATTGGTAAGAGTATTCTTATCAATAAGCATTTTTGTGGTTGGTGTGTTTTCTTTGCTCCTTTTATCGAATGTTTTGTCAACGAAAAAGACATTATGGCTTAAGTGAGGGAAGGTGATTTTTAGTTTTGTTTCATCCAAGTGCCGATTATCTCTTGAAGTCGGGCATCGCATGTTGCTTCTATTTGATAGTATATTGGTTAGGAATCAGCGTTGTAAGTTGATTCTTTCCAATTATTCGTCTACTGTGGAGGTTGTGAAGTTTTGAGCTTGGTTTGGAGACAAGGGAAAGAAATGCTGCTCGTGGTGTGTCGATTTTGGGGTACATCATGTGTTGGGGCTGATCAGTTCTTGTATGATTGTTAGTCCCCTATTTCTTGATAGGAAGCATTTTGTCAAGAGACAAGTTCTTTGCTTGTAGTTAGATTTGAATTTTTTAGCCCCCCTGTGTCATGGCAAAGTGCTTTCTATCGAGAAACACTTCTAAGTGCCTATACGGCTACCTTGTGTGATTAGCATTCATCCTATACTTGGCTTCTCGGTTCTTATACCCTAGTAGCCCTGATTATGGGTTACGAAGGAAATTGGTACCGCTTGTCGTCATGGCTGCTAATGGGCATCAGCTAGCTCTCGCATCAATGATCCTTGGTTATTTGTACGAATAGATGGATGACACCATTCATCAGGTTATGGACCCCAACTACAAGCGATGGTCATCTTATGTTTTTTCACCATTTCTTTTTATGTTACTCTGTGAGCAACTTGACCTTGATGTCGTGCTTCGCAAGCTTTCTCCTATCCGTATGTGTGTCGCTACCCTGGATGAGTCTAAGTCACGCAGGGTTTCTCTCGATGTTTTTCGAGGGAAGTGGCAATTGAATGTGAAGAGGGGTAAGGGTTTCAACATCAATGAGATAGAGTCACAATTTTCTAATATTGATTGCTTCTTCCTTTTCCCTTACAAAGAGTACGTTTCTCACTCTATGCCCTTCTGTGTTGGGGTAAATGCAGTGGAAGGAGGTTATCAATAGTGTGTTGTTGGTATTGACAAACCTGTAGTGGGTGTCGCCCATTTGGTGCTATGGCTTAGGGTTGTTTGCTATTTGGACAAGTCTGGTGAAGCTTAGGCCACCGCATACTGGCCAGATCATCTTCTCCACTAGTTTGGTTATGACAACTTGGGGTCATAGTTCCTTCATTGTGAGGGTGAGGATGTGTTTTGGCAATGTCACAACGACCGTGCCTTCGTTGGTGTTTCTTGCTTCCCTCTAGTGAGCTATAAGAGCCTAGAGGTTTGTTCTTCTCTCCGTCGTGGGTACTTGTGCGCACTATTCGGTGGGCTATAGATGCTCATGGCGGTAGAGCCGCGACCGAGGCACATTGTGGCCCCTCCCCTAGGTCATGCAGCGGAACAAGTTAAGGAAGTCCTTTTTGGTGGTCGCATGGATGTGTCTATGTCAGTAGCCCAAGTTGTTTTGGAGGGGCAGGTGAGCACTAGTGATGCTACTAAGGGTAAGTGTTTCGTTGTTGAAGTGGGGGAGAGTAGTCATCCCCTTGTGGTTAAGAGATAGAGGACAGCGAGAAGAGCTCATCCCGCTCTATCTTCTGAGATAGGTGCTGGCGGTGATTCTATCAAAGCACCAAGTGTGGAGATATCTCAAGCTAAGGTGCAGGGCCCTAGCGATTGGGCTTCTATGGGGAGGACCTCGGTTGAGGTCCCTCGTGAGGAAGTTATGCAGGTGGCTCCCGAAGTTAGGTATCTTGATTTTGGAGTTGTTTAGGGCGCTAGTGTGGAGACTACACAGTCGATGAGGGATGTCGTGTTGTCGGCTGTGACTATTATAGTTCCCGTCACGGGTGGACAGGTTAAAAAGATAGTGTCCCATGTTCGGAGAAGGGACGTGAAGATTTCTGGATTGGTAAGTTCATTCCATTGTTATTGTATATATATTTTTGTTAACAACAAAAGTTGTTGGTTGTGTATTATGGCTGACCATCGTTGTGTATTCTGTTGTAGTATTTTGTTCTAAAGTGGGTGGAAGCGGGGGATGAATGCGCTGACTTTATAGGTCCATGTTTTGTTGATGGTCGTATTAGTTGCGATGAGGTATGTCTATATTTGAATGTGTATCCATTGTGTATTGTTGGTTGTTCTGACTTCTTTGTTTGTTCTAGGTTTCCTTTGGTTTTGTCCCTGCCTGTGTCGCCATATCACCGATCATTAAACGACTGACTATAGAGTTGAGTGCTCTCTGTCTTGAGGCTATGGAGGGAAAGGTGTCGGATGGTGATGGTAGCGTGGCTCCAGCTCCGGTGGGGGCTTCAGGCCCTCGGTGAGATGATTGTGTACGGGAGAGTGGCGAGTTTGTGAACAACTCTATTGCAGAGCCCATGCAGCCTCCTAATGCATTGAAGGAACCTGCTATCATTCATGATCCTACAGAGGTAATTGCTCCGTCTGATTTGACGCAAGTGTAGGTTGTTGTGGATGATGACAGTATTTTAGAAGAGCCTGTGACCGATGTTCAGCCGATGGAGGATGATATGCTAGGCCCACATCATGATGATTTGGAGATATCCGCAGAGCTTATGATAGTGCACCAGGAGGTAACAAACAGATACAAAAAAGAGGAAATGGTTCCTATCGGGTTTGTAGTGTCTAATCCTGTCATTGTTCAGGGAGTTCACAATAGGAGCAGTTCGTCGTATCCCACAATGTCGCTGATAAAAACGTCATTAGTTATTCAGAAGGGGTGGTTGCCTACTTCCGAATTTCCACCTGTGGTTATGAGTGCCTCCTTATACATAGGGGTTAGGTTGATGAACTCCATTATGTCATAGTCCATGGAGTCATTGTCATGGTCTCTATTCACCTGGTGGTTGAAAGCTGCAATGGGCTTCCAAATGGAGCATATTGAAGAGCGAGTGACTCGCATGGATCATGTGTTCTAGAAGACCGGTCATAAGGAGTCCAACCCATTGTCTTTCAAGAAACTAGATGAGTTTCACATGCGATTAAAGGGTGTGGATGCCTACATCACGAAGATTGAGGCGAAGATAGCAACCTTCTTGGTGAAGCCGCATGTCAATAGAAGGGATTATTGCAGCTGTGGGAGGAATATCAGGAGATCATTGAGATTTTGGAACAAAGGGAAAAGTTAGAGGAAATCACTAAGATGCTCAATGAATGGTTTAGTCTGAGTTAAATAGATGATTTGTGTTCAATAGTTTCGTTTTTTATCATTTTTTCCATGTAAATGTATAACTGTTTATTCTGCTTAATGGAAACATTCTTTTATCATGTGGGTCATTTTGCTTTCTTCTTACTTTGTATTGTATTTATCTGTTATTCCCATTGGATGGGTAGCTTGTTGTTTGTTGGGAGTGTGATAAGATTCCAGGGTAATGATAGTGCATGTGATCAATGTTTAATGAGTGAAAAATGACTGAGGCACATACATAGTGTCATGTCAATATTATATTAGGGTGATGTTAAGTGTGTGTGCTTGCGATGATCAAGGATTATTGTTTAACTCCCGTGATGGGTGCTTAGTGATACCTTGAGTCCGTGATGGACTTAGTTTGTAATTGGCCAATTGTAGTGGTTTCTTATCAGTTCTGAGTATTTGTTGTTTCTTGGTGTAGTCAAGTTGTGTTTGTGTGATATGGGTTGAGCCCCCCATTAGTTGAGCCATGATCTATTATTGCTCTTTGTATGGGAAAAGCCTTACAGACTCTATGCCTTTTTGTTAGCGATGATTGGTTGGGCAGAGTAAAGGTTTTCCTATTTGTTTTATCATGCATGTGACTCTGCTCTAATATTATGGTGTAGTCGAGGGCAGGTGGCTACTTACGATCGCCATGTCTTATGTGAACTATGTCACCAGGGTTACCAAAACATTCTCAGTGTTTGTCAGGAGGTGTGAACTCATGCCTGGGGTTATCAAGGAATGTAAGATCACTTTTAGGTTGCCAAGGTATGTAAGATCGTTCCTAGGGTTGTAAGGGCCTTCCTAGGGTTGCCAAGGTATGTAAGACTGCTCCTGGAGTTGCCAGGGTGTATAAGACCACTCGTGGGGTTTCCAAAGTGTTCTTGGGGTAGCCAAGGTATGTAAGCTCACTCCCAGGGTTGCCAGGGTATGCAAGATCGCTCTTGGGGGGGTTCTAGGGCCTTCTTGGGGTTGCTAGGGTATGTAAGATTGCTCCTGGGGTTGCTAGGGTGTGTAAAACCGATCTTGGGGTTGTCACGGCCTTTTTGGGTTGCTAGGGCATGTAAGATCACTCCTGGGGTTGTCAAGGTGTGTAAGATCGCTCTTGGGGTTTCTAAGGCCTTCTTGGGATTGCCAAGGTATGTAAAATCGCTCATAGGGTTGCTAGGGTATGTAAGATCACACCTGGGGTTGCTAGGGTATGTAAGATCGCTCCTAAAGTTGCTAGGGCCTTCCTAGGGTTGCCAAGGTATGTAAAATTGCTCCTAGGGTTGCCAAGGCTTTCTTGAGGTTGCTAGGGTATGTGAGATCACTATTGGGATTGTCAGGGCCTTCATAGGATTGACAAGGTATGTAAGATCACTATTGGGGTTGTCAAGGCCTTTCTAGGGTTTCCAAGGTATGTAAGACCGCTCTTGCACTTGTCAGGGCCTTCTTGCGGTTGCCAGGGTATGTAAGATCGCTCTTAGGGTTGCCTGGGCCTTCTTGGCTCAGAGCTGTGGGCTGCATATAGAGCTTTTTCTATTTCATCATCGACCAAGCATCACAAGGGTTTTCTTGTATAAGACTTTTTGTACAATAGATCGTCTTGTAGGTAAAACCTCTTAATCTTGGACAATATCTTTTTCCTTAATGGGGAATCAAGGGGTAAGACTCCACCTTTGAGGTAGGCTATGCATGCATCTCTCTAGTCTACATCTCTCACAATAAGGCATTCTTTCTCACAATAAGGCATTCTTTCTTGTCAATCTCCAATATGCACTTATCACAATCATTATGTGCCTTGGCTACATCCTTTTTCATCTCAAGCCAATAGTATCCAAGTCTGTTGTCTGCAGTACAACGAAGCTGTGATGTCTTCACAGTAGGTTTCAAGGGTCTCTCTTAACACTATAGCTACTTCTATGGGTCCTAGGCACCTTGCTTCGACTCCGTTTGCCATTTTATGGTATAGTACCCCATTTACTAGTTGGTAGTGGAGTAGCACTTTACTATCTTGTGTCATGGATGTAGGGTTCCTGAGTTTTACAATGATGGTCTATCTCCAATCACCCTTCTCGATAATGTTTCTAGACTCCACCCAATGCGCTAGTCTTTTTGTTGATTGTTTTCCTTGCATCTAAATAGTTATGCTGATCGGGCCTTCACTCAACTGAATTTTAAAACCTAGTATGGCTAAGGCATCTGTGAATCTATTCTTGGCTTTGTTTTGGTGACCATAGTTCACATCCAAGTCCATAGTTAGATTTTGTATCAAGATTCTATATGGTAGAATTTTCAACTCTTTCACTGTGGTGTTTCCTTCCATCTGTCCTATTACTAGTTTTGAATCCCCAATTACTTTCACTTTCTTTGCTCTAGAGTTTCTTGCTTCTGTTAAGCCCAACACCAGGGCTTCATATTCTACTATGTTGTGTGAGCAGGGGAGTTGCATCTTGAAGGAATAGGCTGAAGTTTTTCCGAAGGAGGAGGTTAAGGTGACCCTCGTACCTGCGGGAGAATCGGTACTGCTTTCATCAAAGGTTAAGGTCCATTCAGCATCTTCTATTGTTGTAATGAGCAGGAGGTCGCCTAGTATTTCTTTAGAGATGGGAAAGTTATTACTAGATGGGAAAGATGCTAGGAGATCGGTGATAGCTTGAACTTGATTGCTTTGGGTTGGGTGCACTCAATGTTGTACTCGACCAGTTGCATCATCCACTTGACTTGTCTCCCGAACAGTGTTGGTCTACTATGAAATATTTGATTGCATCACTTCTTTCTATCAAGACCACCTTCTATCCTAATATATAATGCCTAAACTTCTAGGCAACAAAGACTAGTGCTAGGCATTATTGTTCCATGTGAGAATAGTTCTTCTTTACAGGTTTCAGTGTCCTACTTACTTCATTTTGGTTTCAAATCTGGTCTGGTTTGTTTCAAGAACGAACCTTGAAAATGCAGATTTCTAAATTAGGGAATAGGATTCCCGGAAGGGACAAAGAAAATTTTTGAAACTACGCAGACCTGATTTGAAATTACCCTTCAGTGGTATTAGAGCCAGGTTTAATTATTGAACCAAATCAAACCTGATTTGAAACTACGCAAATGGGCAAAATCGGTTCTACCCGATTTACGCAGTTTGCAGTGTTTTTGGGAATTGGTTCCCAGTTTTTGGGCATATGATCTGAAAATTATTTTTTTTTCATTATCTGCATTAATTATAGAATTGTTCTATATTTATTTCTTGATTTATGGGTTGTTCATATGGTGGAGATCGAAATATTTATTGCGTCAAGAATTTGCGCACCCTACTATATTATTCTATTCAATTCGGTCTGTAAATAATTATTTTATTTTTTAGACGAAATGTATAGGATTTATTCAGGTGTAAATTAATAGAGAAAATAGGTTTTTCTATTTTACATAAACGAACCTACAAACTGTTACTAACCTTTTTCTTGCAAGATTGCAGCACCACGAACAACCCTCTGATTATTGTTTTCTGATCTTCAATGTCTTTTTCTGCTATAATTGATTTTTAGATCATTTTCTTGAATTGGATCTTGCAATAGACACCAAACCCTAGGCCATTTTGACCCAGATTGGACCAAACTAATTGGACCGAATCTGTGGTTCAATAGGGTATGTTCTCAGCCCTAAATTTTGATTATGGGCTAGGAGTTTGATGGCCCATTACAAGATCTAATTTGGCCCACCCTTGTAAAACCCTATTTTCTTAAGTTGAAACTGCATTAGCCCAAATCAGCACAAGTGTTATATGGGCCGAACTGCCTTTTGTAGTTTAGCCCATATACCTAGATGGTGTTATATGATAATGTTATGGGCTGTAAATGGGCTGATATTGTTTTAACCTAATTAATTAGGGTTTTACAGTTTATGTGATTTATTGGATCAATTGTCATGCATGTGGATGTATGTGATGTGTGATATGCTACGTACATGGGCCATAAGCACTTGGCCCATGTTCATTCATTAGTGGCTCTCTACGCACACCATGGTTGAATGCACATAATTTCTATGGTGTCCTTAAGATCATTGGATGATCTCCCTTCCAGATAGGCCCCACATCCGCTTCCTTCGCAAGAGGAACTGTACGAAACCCTAGCTCATTTAGGGCCCATTTGAATCTGACTTGAAGAAAGTCAGTGGGAGTGATAGCTATAAATATATAACTCTAGCAAATGCACTAGTTATCAAGTAGTATAATAATATCGTTCCCTCGGGGATTTAACAAAATAAGTATTAGAATCACAGTCTTCCCTAATTATTTGGACAATCGAAATTCAGATTTTAGAAAGCAATAACTACTAAAAATAAAACTGGAAAAAGAAAATAAAAACAAGGGTGAT